CCCTGCCCGTTACGTTCCCGTTACGTGCCCGCGGCCCGGCCCATCCCGGTTCAACGGGAACCGGCCCCGCTGCTTCCCTGAGCCCCTGCTCCACGTTGGGGCTTTCACCTCCCGCGGACCCGGGACCCCCGTCCCATCCCGTCCTGTCCCGGAGGAGCCACAAACCCGGCCTGCACCGAGCCCCCCGGTGGCGGCGGCCGTGACGGCCCCGCGCTGCCCGCTCCCTCCCGGTGCCCGTCAGGAGCCTTTTTAAGGCACAAAGCGCTCATTGTCCCGTTGGCAAAGCCCTAATCCTGCCCTGGGCGGGAGCCCGGGCCCGGCCGCTGCCGAGGGGCTCCCGTTCGCCTCATCCCGGCGTTATTCCCGTTCGAGCCCATGCAAACGGGGAAGTCCCCGTGCCCGGGAGCCGGGTTCCTCCCTGGGGCCGCTGCCACGGCTCCGGTTAATGTTCACCCGCTGACCCCTCGGCGGCCGGGAGCAAAGTCCTGCAGCACCGGAGCCAGGAGCTGAAGGAAGGGAGTGGGGGGGGTAATTGGGTGCCAGGGCCCCCCCCTCACCTCTTCCCTGCTCTTTCCCTTCCTCCTCCCCAGCATGTTCCAGGCCTTGTACAACTGCTTCTGGTGGGAGCGGCTCTGGCTCCCGGCGAACCTCACCTGGACCGACCTGGAGGACCGGGATGGGAGAGTCTACGCCAAAGCCTCCGACCTCTACATCACCATCCCCTTGGCCTTCGTCTTCCTCGTTGTCCGGCACCTCTTCGAGACGTGAGTCCCTTCCCCCTGTGCCAGGGATCCCCTCCGTGCGATGGGGGCACCCTGGGGTCCTGCCCCGTGTCCCCCGTCCCTGAGGGCTCTGCACAATCCGGCTTTGTGCATCCTCCAGGAGCGCTGCTTGGGGCAAACAACGGTCGGGAACAGAGGGGGCTTTGTTGGGGAGGCCACCACGGCCCCGCTGCTCCGTGGCCACAGGGCCTTTGGGTGCTGAAACCCCACGGCAGGATGGGGAAACAGGCACCGAGGGGGCTTTGATGGGGCTGCATCAACCAGGTGGCACGGAAACGACATCTTCGGTCCCCTGCTCCCTCCCCAGGTACGTGGCCACCCCCCTGGCCGGGCTCCTGAACGTCAAGGAGAAGATCAGGTTAAAAGCCACCCCCAACCCCGTGCTGGAGAAGTTCTATGCTGCCACCTCCAAGCACCCCAAGCAGGTGAGGTAATGGGGGGGGGGGGTTGGGCTTGGTGTGGCTGGGGAGGGGGATACAAGCAGCAGAGCCGGGTCCCTGTGTGACGGTGGTGACGGCCCCGCTGTCCCCAGGCTGATGTGGAGATGCTCTCCAAGAAGAGCGGCTGCACCGTGCGGCAAGTGGAGCGCTGGTTCCGCCGCCGCCGCAACCAGGACCGGCCCAGCCTGCTCAAGAAGTTCAGGGAGGCCAGGTGAGACCCAGGGCCTGCCCCCATCACGGTCCCCATCACCGTCCCCATCACGGTCCCCATCACAGTCTCCATCACCATCCCCATCACTGTCCCTGTCATTGTCCTCATCACCGTCCCCATCACGGTCCCCATCACGGTCCCCATCACCGTCCCCGTCACTGTCCCTGTCATTGTCCCTGTCATTGTCCTCATCACCGTCCCCATCATTGTCCCCATCAAAGTCCCCATCTCCATCCCCATCCCCATCTCCATCCCCATCACCATCTCCATCCCCATCTCCATCGCCATCCCCATCTCCATCGCCATCACCATCTCCATCACCGTCACCCTGCGGGGCACCCACGTGGCTGGGAGGACCTAGGGGACAGGGGGGACATGGGGCCGGTGGGTCCGTCCTTCTCCCTCCCTCTCCCGGTGCCCGCCTGAGGACCGTCTGCTTCCTTTTTCCAGTTGGAGATTCACCTTTTACCTTATTGCTTTCATTGCTGGCATGGCTGTTATAGTGGATGTAAGTCCTGCTCCCCCCCTTCCCCTGCCCCATCGCGCCCCCCCGGTCCCTTCTAACCCCTCTCTGTCTCCCTCTTCCCCTCCACATCCCACAGAAACCCTGGTTCTATGACCTCCGGGAGGTGTGGAAGGGATACCCCATCCAGGTGAGCTCCAACCCGGTCCCGGCCACCCTCCACAGCCCTTCCTGCCCCTGGGCAGCAGGGTCCAGAGGCCCCGGTGCTGTGGAGAGGGGCTCTCTGGGTGTGTGGGGTTGTCCCTGGCACCCGGGTGGGTCTGGGTGATGCACAGGGAAGGGCTTTGGGTGCTGTGGGTCTGGCGGGTGCCCACAGGAGGGGTTCAAGCCCTCGAGCTGTCTCTTGGCTTTCAGAGCATGCTGCCCTCCCAGTACTGGTACTACATGATCGAGCTCTCCTTCTACTGGTCCCTGCTCTTCAGCATCGCCTCCGATGTCAAACGCAAGGTGGGCTGGGGCAATGGGGCTCGCTGGGGGCACCTTGGCAGGGGGTTCTTCACCCTCTGGGGCTGGGGGGGCACTGGGGCTGTGGTGGGGGTCTCGGGTACGAGCAGGTTGTGGTGTTTGGAGCCTGCTCCAGCCTCCAGCTCCCCCTTTCCTGGGTGCAGGACTTCAAGGAACAAATCATCCACCACGTGGCCACCATCATCCTCATCAGCTTCTCCTGGTTTGCCAACTACGTCCGTGCGGGGACGCTCATCATGGCCCTGCACGACTCCTCGGACTATCTGCTGGAGGTACAGCCCCTCCACGGCCGCCTCCTCATGGAGCCATGGCGTGGGTTGGGTTGAAGGGAGCTTAAAGCTCATCCAAAGCCATGGCAGGGACCCCTTCCACCGGAGCAGGATGCTCCAAGCCCCTGTGTCCAACCTGGCCTTGAGCACTGCCAGGGATGGGGCAGCCACAGCTTCTCTGGGCACCCTGTGCCAGCGCCTCAGCACCCTCACAGGGAAGAGCTTCTGCCTAAGAGCTCAGCTCAGTCTCCCCTCGGGCAGGTTAAAGCCATTCCCCTTGGCCTGTCCCTGCATCCCTTGTCCCAAGCCCCTCTCCAGCTTTCCTGCAGCCCCTTCAGGCACTGGAGCTGCTCTAAGCTCTCCCCTGCATCTTCAGCTCTGTCTCCATCGCTCACCCCCTCTGTCCCTGCCCCCCCCCAGTCTGCCAAGATGTTCAACTACGCCGGCTGGAGGAACACCTGCAACAACATCTTCATCGTCTTTGCTGCCGTCTTCATCATCACCCGCTTGGTCATTCTGCCCTTCTGGTGAGTGCTGGGGGCCTGGGGGGGGGGGGAATGACACTGAGGCATGGGGCAGGGAGATGCAAAGGGGGGGCAGGATCTTGGTCCCTGCCTGTAACGGGGCTGCTTCTCCCGGCAGGATCATGCACTGCACCGTGGTTTACCCGCTGGAGCTCTACCCGGCCTTCTTCGGCTACTACTTCTTTAACTTCATGATGGCCGTGCTGCAGTCGCTGCACATCTTCTGGGCCTACCTCATCATCCGCATGGCCCAGAAGTTCATAACTGGAAAGGCAAGAGGGGGACGAGGGGGTGATGGAGAGCCCCAAATCATGGAGCTGGGTTGCATTTGGCTCCTGAATCCCAGAGAATCCTCAACGGGGACTGGAGGCTCTGGCGCCATGGAGGGGGTCTCTGGGTGTGTGGGGTTGTCCCTGGCACCCGGGTGGGTCTGGGTGGTGCCCATGGAAGGGGTCAAACCGTGCCTGAACCCCCCCCCCCCCCTCTTTTGTCACCCCACAGGTGGTGGAGGACGAGAGGAGCGACCGCGAGGAGACGGACAACTCGGAGGAGGAGGAGGAGAAGAACGGGCCCCTCTCCAACGGGCACCCGGTGCTCAACAACAACCACCGCAAAACCGACTGAGGCACCGGAGCCACCGCCCTGGGGTGTCCCCCCCGCCACCACCACCACCACCACGACCTCGCTCCCCTCCGGGTGCAGCCGTTGCCGCTTCCCCACCTCACAGCGGTGGTGCCCTTCCTGCCTTTCACCTGCTGCCTTAAGCCACCGCGGTGCCGGGGTTCCAGCCCCGTTATTCCCCCTTTCCCACCCATCCCAGCGGGAAGCACGGCCTGCAGCTGCCTCTAACACGGGGAGAAGCCCCTTCCCCAAGCCCGGGGCAGGGTGGGAGGGAGGAGTGGAGCAATTCCGGGGCGGGGGGATCCAGTGGCCATGGGGACACTTGGGAAGGGAGCCCCCGGAGGAGTTGGATCCCTTCCTTTTGCCAATGGGATTTGGGTATCGTGTCCCCCCCCACCCGGACAAATTCACAGCCCAATCCCTTCCTTTTTGTGTTCTTGTTTTTTGCTGTTTTCTATTTATTTGGATGCCAGAAGGAGCCGGGGGCTTGGCTCCGGGGTCTCCTGCCTCCATCCCGGGCTGTGGGGATGTCCCAGCGCGGAGGGAGGAAGGAAAGGACCATTCCCAACCACAGACCAAAAAACGTGTTTTGTTGTTCTTGTTTTTTAAAAAAAGAAAGAAATAAAAAGCTTAAAAGATACGAAAAGTTCACAACTAATAAACTTCCAGGAAAAAAAAGAGAATTCCAGAGCTCTGGAATCATCTGTGGCTGCTGCAGTGGCTCCGGCTCACACACGGGGGTGGTGTCAGTGGAGCTGCAGTGGGGTGAGGCCAAAATGGGGCAGATTTGGGGGTTTTGGTTGGTCTCAAGTCCAGGGCGTCGCTTCGGTAACAAACCCGTGGTTCATTGCTCCGGAGCAATGGAAAGGTTCCTGCACCAGGCCCCAGCTGCAGCCCATGCACCTGCAGTGCTTGAGGTTCACCCCATTGACCCAGAGTGGTCCATTGGAGCTGGGCGCATCCCATCATCCTGCCCCTAACCCCACAGGGATGGACACAGCTCGGTCCCACCCTGAAGCAGTTCCCTGGAGTGTTTCCCATTGGAAAACCAGTGGCAGAAGCACCTCCTAGAGGCTCAGGTTTGGGCATCCCTCCCCACCCCACATCCCCTGCCTGGGGTCCGGATCAGTTTGTGTCCGTCTGCTCCCTGCAACCTGAGTTCCTCAGCTTGGGAATGACGAGGCCACCGGGAAGGGAAGGGCAGGGAGGGAGCACGGGGGGCTCAGAGCAGCCGCCCGCGGCACTCGATGGCCCCGCAGCAGCACAGCAGCTCTTTGCCCTCCACGCTGCCCACTTCGTAGTTGTAATCCCAGGTCAGCTCCGTGCCAGCACGGATCCTCCTGGGGAGAGAAGGGGAAGAGGCCATTCCAGAGGGGAGGAGCAGCCGGAGCTCCCGCTCCCAGCGCTCACATCTGACCTCGCTGGACCAATCCAGCTCCCCCCCCCCCCCCAGGCCAAGGGTGAAGCAGGCGGCGCCGCTGCCTTTGGCTCCATGGGGAGCACGGGGACAAAGGTCCCTGATGAATCACTCCCGTGGGGCTTCCCGAAGGTGACTCCGTGCTCCCGGGGCGCAGGAGCCACGTGGCGGGGGACTGGGGCTTAACTCCCCCCTTTGGAAAGGTCTAAACCCAGTGCAAACCAGCCCAGGACCTGCACAGAAGGTTGGGGGGGTCCTCACCAAGGTTCTCCCCACTCAGGCTTGGGGGGGGGGACACAGCAGGGGACAAGAGGACAAGGGGACCCCCATCCCTGTGCCCCCCACTCACTTGCTGGCGAAGAAGGCGACCCAGGGGAAGCGGAGGTCGTGGGTGTCCACAAACACGTTCTGCACGAAGAGGTTGGGGCTGCAGCTATGCTGGAGGGAGCAGAGGCACCGTGAGCACAGGGCTGGAGCTGGGACAAGCAGCAGCGTTCCCCATGGAAGGGGCTCCACTCCCTCCCTGCCCACAGCAGGGCTGGAGGCACAGGCAAAGGTGATGCTGCTGAGGAAGGTCTGACTCGGCTGTCACGGGGCCTGGTTCCAGCCACAGGGGTGGGGATCCATCCTCCTCATCCGGCTCTTTTCCCAGTTTTTAATGGGCTGGGTGGAAGGGACCTTAAAGCTCATTGAAAGCCACGGGCAGGGACCCCTTCCACTGGAGGAGGATGCTCCAACCTGGCCTTGAACACTGCCAGGGATGGGGCAGCCACAGCTTCTCCATTCAACCCATTCCAGTGTCCCAGCACCCTCACAGGGAAGAACTTCCCTATCTCCAACCTAAATCCCCCCTGTTCCAGTCTGAACCCATCACCCCTTGTCCTGTTGCTCCAGTCCCTGATGAAGGCCCCTCTCCAGCATCCTTGCAGCCCCCTTCAGACACTGGAAGCTGCTCTGAGCTCTCCACGCAGCTTTTCTCCAGGCTGAGCAGCCCCAATGTTCCCAGCCTGGCTCCTATGGGAGCTGCCCCAGGTCCCCCCCCAAGGTGCCCATTGCCCCTCGAGGTGACTCACGTTGAGGTAGCGGCCCAGGTTCCCCTCCAGCTTGGCGTCGATGATGTAGCAGGACTCCTCGCCGTCGTAGAACTGCCGCGTGGTCCGGCGCACCGGCGCGCTCTCGCCCTTGTCGGCGGCCATGGTGGTGGATTTGATGGCAATGCCGTGGGTTGACTTGAGGGCAAAGCCCCGGGTGGACTTCACAGCCACCTGCCTCTTCATGGGACCTGCCACAGGGGAGGAGACTCCACCGTGGTCCCTGCACCTTCCACAAGAGGAGCCCCACAGACACTGACTCAGATGCCCCATCCCTGGCAGTGCTCAAGGCCACGTTGGACACAGGGGCTTGGAGCATCCTGCTCCAGTGGAAGGTGGCCCGGGTTGAACTGGATGAGCTTCAGCAAACCCTTCCGACCCAAACCATTCCCTGGGCTGGCTCCAGGGCATCTCTCAGCTCTCCACTTGACCCAATGAACCTCACAGTTGGTTTTAGGCAGCTCTCCACAATGCCCAAGCACCTGGGGACTGGGCTTTGCAGTTATGGCCCAAACAAGCCCTGGGGAAGCCTCAGCCCTTGGCTGGTGAGACAGAGCTCATCGGCACACGGGGCAGGACGCACCACGCTCACAGCTACAGCCCCAGGAGCCCGGTTTGGTGGCTTCTGCCCCAGGTGGCTTCACTGTACCTGTTCTTTGTGCTCCTCACCTGACCCCGAGGACGGGTTCTTCTTCTCATCCCCCTCCTCCTCATCGGAGCCCGAGGAAATGGTCTGGATGTCGTCGCTGTCGTTGGTGGTGGCCTGGCCCTGCCCTGCTGCTGCGGGGCCGTTCTCCCCCTCACTCTCAGTGCTGCTCGACACGGTCAGCACGTCCTGGCCAAAGGGACCCCTGGCTCCCGAGGGCACCTTGGGGCAAGGAGAGCGTTGGCATTGGGGAGGAAGGGACCGACACCACAAAGCAAACCCCGGCCCGTGGCTGCCCTGCCGAGCACCGCATCCCTGGTGTGGGAACCAAGGCGCTACATCCCCTTACAACACAGGGACCAGACCCCACGTGGCCTCTGTTTCTGGGGCTCCCAGACCCACAGAAGGGCCCCAGTGGCAGAAGGAAATCAGCTTCCCCCCAGGAAATCACAGCCCCAAACCACAGCCCTGCGCTGGTGCCCAGCTGGGAAGGGAAGCGCAGAGGAACAGACCCCAAGGAAGGTTCAAGGCCTTCACTGAACCAGGCTGGGGCTGGGGCAGAGCCAGACCCACCCCTTCCCACCCTGGTCTGGCATTCCCAGCCCATCCCATCCCTAGGATCTCTGCTCACATCCGTGCTGGGCTGGGGGGTGCCGGAAAGCCGCTTGCTCTGCAGCAGCGCCGTCCTGCTCGTCGGCCTCCGGATCCCCTCGAGCTTGGGAGGGCTGGGGTTGTATCCATACATCCTGCCCAAGTCACCCAGCCTGTGGGAAGAGCAGGTGCCCTTGGATCTCCAGGCAGAGCCACAGCAGCAGGGGGAACCGAGAGCTGCACAAGCCCATAGCGGTCCCCCTGGGCCCAGCCCCAGCTCTGTTTCCTCCAGCACTGGTGTTAAACCCAGTTAAGGGCAGCCCTAAAGCTGCAGCAATCCCTTAGCTGGCAAGGAAAAGCAGGAAAATCCACGTTAAGGAACCTTACCCGGGAATTTTGGCTACGTCCTCAGGTTCCTGCAGGGGGGAGAAGGACACGCAATTAAAACCTCTCCCTTTTGGAGCACCCTTCAGCCCTTCTGTGCAACCACTTCCCAAACACCAGCCCCGCTCAGTGGGGCACCCAGGCCAAGTCCTGACCGTGGGTCTCCCGTCCTCTGTGTCCCATACGGTGGGTCCTCAACAGAGCAGGGAGGGGACAAAGAGCACCCCCATGTCCCCACCATCCCTGGCACCCTCTTGCAGGGCTGCACAGCCACGGAGCACCGAGGGCCTGGGGGACATTCAGCACACGCTGAGCAGCTTCTTTGTAGCCTCTTGTGCCCAAACATCCCTCAGGAAGGGACCAGGCACCTGCCACCCTACCCCAGCAAGCAAAGGCCAAGTAAGCAGAGCATGGGGACACCAAAGAGCACCGCAGGCACGTTGTCCGCGTGGAGAAGCCATTGAGCAAGAGCACAGCTGATGCCCATCGTGGTGCCTCCGTTTCCTCATCTCCCTTACTTCTTTCTTTGATGCCTTCAGCTCCTGATCCACATCTCCCGGGGCAGCAGTGCAGGTTTTCTCCCTTTCCCCTGGGATCTCCCCTTTGCTGGCCTTGGCTTCCCCTCCTTCACTCATCTTGAAGGAGGAGGCGCTGTCATTGTCCTGGAAGCCGTCGGCCATGCTGTTGGAGCTCAGCCACGACACCACCTTGTTCTTGGAGGTCTCCTCCGACACCGGGAGCTTGCAGGAGGCAGCCGCAGGGGCCTCGTCGGGCTGAAGCTGCCGGGCAGGCCCGGAGTCCTTGGAGGCCGTCTCCGAGAGCCCGTTCTCCTTCTGGCCGCGGGTCTGGCGGCGCGTGGCGTAGCTGCGCCACACCGAGCTGGTGCTGAAGTCCTCGTCCTTGCAGAAGTTGTCATCAGAGCTGTCCTCGTTGGACTCCTCCTGCTCCTCCGTGCCCGTGTTCTCGTCCTCGTCGTCCTTCAGGTCCACGCCGCTGCTGTCCGAGGAGCACTTGGCGTCGCTCTCGTAGCCCTCCTTGAAGTTCTCCACGCTCTCGATGTGGTCCAGGTTGGCAAAGTACTCGTCCCCCATCTCCAGCCCCTCTTTGTCAGCAAAGTCATCCGTGAGGATCTTCCCTGAGGGAAGGGGAAAAGAAGGGGGAGTTTTCCAGGGATGAGGCTCCTAACCCAGCGCGCAGCAGCAAGCGAACAGGGCTTGACACCGCCTCAGGCCAAAGCTGGACTGGGAAAGGGCAATGCCTGACCCCGATACTTGAGGTAATCTGAAGCACTTGGGTGGTCATAGAACGGGTGAGGTTGGAAAGGAGCTTAAGACCAGCCAGTTCCAAGCCCCTGCCATGGGCAGGGATGCCTCACACTAGACCATGTTAGCCAAGGCTCTGCCCAGCCTGGCCTTGAACACTGCCAGGGATGGAGCATTCACCACTTTGAGCAACCTGTGCCAGTGCCTCAGCACCCTCACGATAAAGAACTTCCTTCTATCTAACCTGAACTTCCCCTCTTTCGGTTTGAACCCATCCTGTGCCTACATCCAGGTTTCTCACTACAGGGTCCTTGCTAACATCCAGGTTTCCAACATGGACATCTCTCAAACAGAGGCACAGCCTTGGCCTCTGAAGGGCTGGCTGGAGGTGATGGCCCAGCACAGAGGTGTTGCTGAGGGTGAGCAGAGCACCAGAACCCAGCGGTGCTCCTGCTTTCCTTGCAGGGCTGATGCAACCGTCCTGAGCAACTTCTGCATTTGGTTGGTTTGTGCTGAGGGCCCCAGCAACCAGTGGGGTGTAAACAGGAAACAGGTTTGTGTTGATTCAAAGCGTGCACAAGCAGCGCGGGGGTCACACAATCATGGCCTGCTTTGGCTGGAAGGGACCTTAAAGCTCCTCCAGCTCCAATCCCTGCCATGGGCAGGGACCCCTTCCACTGGAGCAGGATGCTCCAAACCCCTGGGTCCAACCTGGCCTTGAGCACTGCCAGGGATGGGGCAGCCACAGCTTCTCTGGGCACCCTGTGCCAGCGCCTCAGCACCCTCACAGGGAAGAGCTTCTGCCTAAGAGCTCAGCTCAGTCTCTCCTTGGGCAGGTTAAAGCCATTCCCCTTGGCCTGTCCCTGCATTCCTTGTCCCAAGCCCCTCTCCAGGTTTCCTGCAGCCCCTTCAGGCACTGGAGCTGCTCTAAGGTCTCCCCTTCAGGAGCCTTCTCTTCCCCAGGCTGCCCCAGCCCAGCTCTCTCAGCCTGGCTCCAAAGCAGAGCTGCTCCAGCCCTCGCAGCAGCTCCGTGGCCTCCTCTGGACTCACTCCAGCAGCTCCACGTCCTATTTCGTGATAAACAAAGCCCAGATCTCAGGCCTGACACAACCAGATCTTTTCAAACACTTATTCCCCCCACTCCTTAACTGAAACCGAGCAGATTCCTATCTGGATACATGTGACTGCCAGGCAGGGCTGGCTCAACAAAGGCTTTTCATTCACAGCACCCATTTCAAAGCTAAGAGGCTTCTACCTGCTCAGCCCATGGGGTGAGGTCCTACCTGCATAGATGCAGACAAAGGAGCCTTTAGCAATATCATCGAGGCAGCGAATGCCCCAGCCTTTGTTCTGGGTCTTGAATAACTGCAGCCGGACTTGGAGGCCGTGTTGGACCAAGCGGTTGGTGCACATGTTAATGTTGCACTTGCACCTCTTGTTGCACTCATAAACTCTGAAAGAGAGGAGAACAGAGACATCTTCCTTGGTAAAGAACCTCCCAGGAGCTCGTGTGGCACCAGAAATGACACAAAAGGACCTGCAGCAGCGACTGAGAGCTCAGCAGAGCAGGGAAAGCGTTGTTGCGAGGTGCTGTGGCCATGAGCAGAGATCCTAGGCCACATGTTAACAGGGATCAAGGACAGAGGCAGGTTTGCACTCCCTCCCTCAAGAAACAGAGTCACAGAATGGTTTGGAAGGGACCTTAAAGCTCATCCAGGGCAGGGACACCTTCCACTAGACCACATTGCTTCAAGCCCCATCCAAAAACTTCTTCCTAATGACTCATCTCAGTCTCTCCTCTGGCAGGTTAAAGCCATTCCCCTTGTCCTATCCCTCCATCCCTTGTCCAAAGCTCCTCTCCAGGTTTCTTGTACCCTCCTTAGAGAGCGGCTCTAAGGTGTCCCCAGAGCCTTCTCTTCTCCCAGCTGAACAATACCCCTCTTTGGGAGCATCAAGAGGCCGAGTTTCTGGGGCTGGTGTCTGTGAGGGAAGAAGATGTGGTTCTGCTTACCCTGTTGGGAGACATTCTTCCAGCCTTTTGTGCTGGTATCCAGAGTTGGGGTTGATCTGTCCTCCTGGGGTGCAGCCAGTCGCCTGGACAGTCAGCTGGTGACAGGCACATTTTGATCTAGAGAGACACAGGAAAACCCACCCACCCTTCAGAAGTTACGTTTTAGACACTGGTTTTACAGAAAGGCGAAGAAATCCCATCTTTCTGAACAGGTACATGCAGAGATGGGCTTCATCTGGGGTCAAATCTACAAGCAAGCAGAGCTCCACGAAGTGCAGAGCAGGTCCACCTTGTGCTGCCATCCCCACCCTCCAGCCCCACTGGCACCCATGGGGTCACCTAGAATCATAGAACAGTTTGGGTTGGAAAGGACCTTAAGATCATCCAGTTCCAAGCCCCCTGCCGTGGGCAGGGTCACCTCACACAAAACCATCTCACCCAAGGCCTCGTCCAACCTGATCTTGAGCACCTCCAGGGATGGAGCATTCACAACCTCCCTGGGCAACCCATTCCAGTGCCTCAGCACCCTAACAGGAAAGAATTTCCTCCTCAGATCCAACCTAAACTCCCCCTGTTTCAGTTTGAACCCATTACCCCTTGTCCTGTCACTACAGTCCCCAATGAAGAATCCCTCCCCAGCATCCCTACTTGTCTCTGCAGCCGTCTTTGCAGTCACAGCCCACGAGGAACTCCCAGCTGGTGTTGATGTAAACCCCTTTGCCCGGGATGCGCTCCTTGCTGTAGGCCACCTGAGGCGGCGGGGTGTTATCGATCTCATTGACGCAGGACAGCGGCACGTCCTCCCTGCCCTTGGTAATGTCCGCGATGTAGTAGTAGGGTTTGTAAGGTTGGAACTTGCGGTCCACCAGCACGTAGGGATCCAAGCAGAACATCTCCAGGAAGAGGAAGTCACAATCCGTCTCGAAGAGGTACCGCTCGATCTCCTGCATGCTCCGCAGGCAGAGCCCGCACGGGGTCTTGTAGAGCACGTGGAAGCCCACCTTGCGGTTGAGGCGGCGCCGCGCCGTCATGCGTCGGAAGTCGTAGAGCAGCGGGATGAGCAGCGGGTTCCGGCTGCGGTACTGGTCGCTGCGCAGCGGCCGCACGCGCGACAGGCACGTGTAGCTGCACACGTGGGGCAGGTAGAAGAGCTTCTCCAGCGGGGCTCGGTACGAGGGCTCGTTGGGCACGCGGTCCATCATGCCGTGGAAGGCCTGGTGGGTGCTGCTGCCTGTTTGGCTGCTGGGGGGGGGAGGCAGGCAGCGGGAAAGGGAGGCGTCAGAAAGCACGTAAGGAAGCAAGAGAACGGGTTGGGTTGGAAGGGACCTTAAGATCAGAGATTGGGATGGGCTGGAAAGGACCCTCAGATCATAGAATGGTTTGGGTTAGAAAGAACCTTAAGATCTTCCAGTTCCAAGCCCTTGCCGTGAGCAAGGCCACCTTCCACTAGACCCTGTCGCCCAAGGTGCTGTCCAACCTGGCCTAGAACACTGCCAGGGATGGAGCATTTACCACTTGTCTTGGCAACCTGTGCCAGTACCTCAGAGCTTCCAAGAGCAAAGGGATTTTAGGCACTTCATTCCTATCAAAGCAGCTGCTTTGATAGATGCTTTTTTTGTGGTTACACACAAGGACACTCATTGGTTTTGCTGCACAGATGAATTAAGACACAAACACCAGCACTCCCAGGGAGTGAGGCTGGGCAGGTGTTACCAGCAGCAGAGAACACAACCACCACCCCCAAAAAATCACAGTAGGGAAGCAAAACCAAGCCCAAGCTGGTTGTGGTCTCTGACCGTGGAGCAACGGCTTCTGTGCTTCCAACTGCCACAAAGCCACCACTGTGGAAAAGCCACCTGCAGACTGACATTAACAACAGCTTTCCTCGGCGCCTACAAAGCTTGTAGCAACAGGAGTCCTCTAACAATAAGCAGGGGCAGAGGCTTTGGCCAGAATCCCACTGGAGTAAATGCTGCTCAGAACTGATAAGAGACCCCCCCAGGCTCAAATATAACAAACAGTTTTCTGGGAGGCAACACAAAGCAGAAGACAAATGGCTCAGGACGAGATAAGCTGCAAATGAAGAGCTCAGTCCGTAGGGAAACAAACCCAACAAGCCCCCGAGCTGCCCCAGCATCCCCAGCTCTGCCAAGGATGCAGGGAACAAGCTGCACTCACCGATGCTGCTGGGCTGCATTGGTCCTGCCCCCCAGAGGTGCATCACTGAGGATAGGGGGAGAAGGGGAAGACTGCCCAGAACCCCCAGAGCTGGGACGGAAGGAAGTGCTCTTCTTGGCCACTTGCTTCCTCGCCTGGGCCAGCTGACTGTCAGAGTACCTGCAGGAGGGAAGGGGTCAGGGACTGGAACAGGCTGCCCAGGGAATGGTGGAGTCACCAGCCCTGGAAGCGTTCCCAAACTGTGTAGATGAGGCCCTTTGTGACAGGGGTTAGCAGTGGGGAATGGTTGGACTTGATGATCTTGAAAGTCTTTTCCAACCTGATGGATTCTATGAGTGATATGCAAGATTCACATGCAGCAGTGCCCCATCCATGAGAAAACAAGCAGGTTTTTTCCTAAGGAGTGTAAAAATCAGCCCATTTCTACCTCTTTGTCCTACAACCCCAAGCAAATGCCAGCATGCATGGAAAAGTGCTATGTATTTGGAAGCAAGGCACGAGGGTGAAAGGAGTGCAACCAGGCTGCCCAAGGCCTTCAGTTTGAAGAAGCTGGCCAAACCAGTCCATGAAGAAACCCCTGCACCAGCAGAAACAAGAGCTTACAGAGCTTGGGCAGTGCTGAGCAGTGGGAGGAACAGGAGCACAGAGGACTCTTTTGTCTGTACCAAGTAACAAGATAAGATTGTGTGAGGGAATAGAATAACACTGCTGACAAAAGGGGCTCCCAAACAGGGATGCACAACACCAGGGAGGTGGGAGACACTTGAAGGACACAATACTCCCACCCTAAGAAACAACAGCAGATCCAATCCACTTACACCCATCAAACAGAGAACCAGCCCAAACCAGCCACTGCCACAAGTGGAAGAATGCAGTTATGTTATCAGGGTGCCAAGGGTGGGGACAGCGAGAGCAGAAGGGGCTGGCCATTTCTGCAAACATCTGCCTTCAGAGCCAAGTGTCAGCACACATTGAGAAGTCAAGAGCAAGAGAAAAGAGGTTCCACCGATGGACTTCAAACAGTCCCAAGTGGCAGCTCCCTGGCACCTTAGAACTTGAAAGTGAGCCTAGAGAGGGACTAGAACCAGCCCTTCCTCAGAGCAAAACAAACACCAGAGTGAAATGCACATCCTCTCAGTTTTAATAAGCTAAATCCAGTGTGGTTTTAACCCATCAATTTCCTCTGGGACAGCTGGGACATGGATCTTGCTGCCTCCAGTCACTGGGGTCTTTAAGCAGTTCACTGGTTAACTGCAGGGCAGGGAACCAGCTGTAATGCATGTCTTGTACTAGATCTGAAAACAAGAGCCTCAAGTCAAAGCCTTTGTGGGGAGAGAAAAAACACCCCAAAGCTTCCATGGAAATGTTAAATGGAAGAGGAGATTCAGCAGCCTCGAGGGTGGCCGATTCAACTGGATCATCTTCATTCCGTGTTGTTGCACATCCTTCCTACACCCTCCTCAGCTCGAGGTGTCCTGGGGTTAGGGCCACAGCCCAGCTCTCCCTCTGCTCCCAGGACTGCTGTGAGGAGCCAGGGCTGCGTTCCTCCTGCTGGAGCAGACCTCTTCTGCTATAGCAAGAGAGGAGGAACAAGGCTGCTACAGCTTCAAGCCCTGTTTTGAATGGCTTGGAGGAGCATTTCCAAGTTCAAGGGGCAGAATGGGTCCTATCGCACTGGTACTTGGAGAGGAACTCCCTCCTGAGGCTGGAGGCTGCAGGCAGGGGGGTTTCTTAGATGCTGCTACACCTAGAGAGCATCCCATGAGTAAAGGTTCACTTCCTGCACGGCTTCCTGACAGCTGGGACACATCTTCTCTCCCATCTGCCCGAGCAGCAGGGCACAGTCACAGCAGAAGACATGCTGGCAGGGGGCGAGGCGTCCGTAAATTCGGATGGGGAATCCACAGTGGTGGCAAAAATGAACTGGGGCAGCATCTCCCATCCCAGGAAAGTCCCAGGGCACGTGCCCAGGTACCCTGGTGGTCTCCAACACGTTCCCTTCATCACCAAGTTGAGTTCCTCCTTCATCCAGGCCTCCTTCAGCACTAGCCTGCACCTCCAGGAACGTCCTGCTTGGGTCCCTGGCAGCAGAAGGCACGGGTGTGACTTGGCTGTGGCTCAGCTCGATCAGGTTTGGCCCATGACCAAGCACTGATCCTGAGTTCCCAGTGCCTCGTAAGCCATCGAGGTCTGTGAGCAGCTCAGTCCAAGTGGAGCAAAACAAAGCAGCCGGTGGCCAGGGCCTGGATCATGACACGAGGGAGCAATTCAGACTTTGAGAGGAGAAGAAGCAAACACTCTTAAGTTGGAAATACATCAAGGGTGAAGCTTTAGCCTTGAGGAAGAAGCTGGTGCTTGGCTCTCAGCTCTCCCACCCCCTGTTACTCATCCAGCTGCCTTTATCTAGAGTTTCCCCCAGAAACATGACTAAAAGCAATTTGTGCAACCAGGAGACAAGTTAGTCACAGAGGAAACATGCACCTGAGGATTCCCCTACACAGAGAGGAGGGTGCCTGAAGGAGCTGAGCACTGGAGATGAAAGGAGGTAGTGATGGAAGCAGAGAAGTGACTCGAGTACTTACTCCATCTCTGCAGGCTGTGGAGAAGCAGAGCGTGGAGCCTGTGAGGCTGCCTGCATCTGCTCTAAAGGCTTGTACTGGGTACCAGCTCCTGTTAGATCCTGTGTGTATTGTACCACGGGCCCTTTGCTCCTCACAGCACCTAGTGGGGAGGGGGGGAAAGGGGAATCTCAACAGGAGAAGTCTCCACCATCAACCAAAGCCACAAGATACTGCTTTAGTCCCCAAAGGCAACCAGAAGAGAGGCATTTGTGGTTAACATCGGGTCACAGGTGAGTGTGGAGTCACAGCCAGTCACCTCAGACAGATGCTGGCCACTTCACACAAGTGCAGCTTGGTTCTGTGGCATCTTTATGTCAGGAGAAAAAGCCCATTGGAAATCCTGCTTCACCAGGAGTTCCACTGAACCCAACTCCACCCAACCAGAACCAGCTCCCACCCGTCCAACCCAAGGCACCCATCCAAATTCCAGGACCCAAATGAAAGGAAAAGATGCCACATACCAACATTGGGACGAGTTCTTGCTTGTCCACTTAGCTTCTTTTCCTGGGTGGAGGCTGTGGAGGCTTTCATGCTGAACATGGGCTCGAGGCGTGTGGAGCCCCGGTAAATCCACTCGCAGCGCTTGTCATCCTGCAGCAAGGAGAAGGCAACATTCCCAGCACCCATGGCAAGAGCTTCCAGAGGGATAACCCAGGCCTGGGAGACAGCCAGGAGCACAATCCAATGGAAAGGAGGCAAAGCATTGACCTGAAGGCTTCTGAAAGACCATGCAGCCAAGGGAGGACAAGGGCAGTAATTCAGCATGTCTGGGAGAACCCTGAATACAAACTGAACCTAGAAGATGCCCAATGCCAAGACCCCAAACCTTGTTCTATCCTTAGCGAACAACTGATCACTGGGACGTGGCTGGAGAAGGCAGATCCCCTTGGAAGACAAGCCAATTCCTCTGCACAAGCATCCTTTAGGGCAGGGAGGTTGCACAAAGTCCCCCCAGCCTGGTGGCCTTGCACTGGCTGGACAGGGAGAGAGCCAAGTGGGCCCAGAGAGGGCACCTCCTCCCCTTGTGGGATTTGTAGCACGTGAGCAAGCAGCAGCTCCCAACCCCTGCTCAGTTTCAATCCTGCTTCTCAAACCAGCACTTGGATCAGGACAGAAGCCACGCTGAGGTGTTTGCACACCTGCAGGTGATGGGTTTGGTTTCTTATTCATCTACTGCTTCACAGTTTCAATTTCAAAATGCTTTAAAAGACTCCTGAGTGCAAAGGAAAGAGTCTGACCTTCACTTGGTAGAACTACTAGGAAGACAGAACTACTTGGAAGGCAGAACTTGGTGGTCTACCTACTAAGCAAAGCATGTGCTTGCTTCAGGCCCCTGTATGATACCAACGAAACTGGATTCAATCAGACCTCTCCACCAGCCTCAAATCTAAGCTCATCTTTCCCTTCTCATGGGAGAAAGGGAACTGCCTTACCAGGAAAAGGATCCTGACCAGGCTGCTATCCACTTCTTCCACTCGGGATTTCCACCAGGTCCCTTCCCACTCTGTTTTGATGAGCTGCCCGCTCTTGAGCAGCACCATGGGGCGGTTGGGGTAGGCTGTGATGTACTCCTCGATGAAATCCCGAGAGGAAACATCCTCAATGTCTTCCCAGGTCTTCTTCACTGCTCAGAAAAGGATGGGGGGGAAAGGGATGGTCAGGGGTGGAAAACTCTCACAAAGAGGAACTTTATAAAGATCCCAGATGGAGTTTTACATAAGAACATTCACGTTGGGGGGTTCTGGTGGCAGGAATCCAGCCATGGTAATGCACCCAGAGTGCAAGGGGTCAGCACAACCACTCTGCCAGGAAGAAACCAGTCTCCTCCAGCTTCAGACACAAACATCTACATGCCCTCTGTGTTTTGAACCCCACCTCCTTCATACAGCCAAAGACTTCCCATACAACTCCAGTGTTAGGATACAGAAGGGGCAGAGCTCACTCACAGGGTCTGCAGACTGGGTACAGCTCCCACTCCTTGACATATGAAGCGTAGCCATCATCAAAGAAGATCAGGAACCTGGAAAAGAGCAGCATTGGAAGCTGGAATTAAACATGCAGCTGAATAAAGCACAGTTATAATGGAAGAAGAGGTATTTCTGGAGCCTTTGGGACAAAGCAGCAGCAGAGAATGAGGACGGTGACAAGGAAGGAGCTGGAGACACCCCCAGGGCTCCATCTGCAGACAGGAGATGAGCACAAGAGAGTCCCCAGCAGCTGCAGGGGCCAGGAGCTTGGAGAGGACCCCCCAAAGGCTGGGCATGGCACCCACTCAGTGCCGGTGCCTCAAACAGTAACCTCAGGATATGGAGCTGTGTGAAGACTGTGTTACAGGAGAGCAGCACTGCAGGCAGGAGGAGTAAATCTGCAACCTGAGTACTAAATGCACTCCATTTGCAGTGATTAAAGATGTATCAGATAGAATTTGACACAATGAGGCATTTCTGGCAGATCCACAGCTGAAACAGGGCAGTGATATCCTTTAGGACAACCTCAGGAAGCCCACGAGTCTAAACCACACCACGAAGAAGCCCTGCCCCATATGCATACACAACTAAAGCCTCCTTTAGACCCGTTCTTGCTTCTCCTCAAGTGCTTCAGCAACTAAATGCTTCCAGGGCTCATGTTTCCTAACCCTGGGTTTTCTGCCTTAAGCCAGGCAGACTTGTGTTTGTGTGATAAGGTGGATGAGTTACCAGATCTGATTCATGACTCAGGGCAATGAATAATAGAACAGAAGCTCCACCCAGAGCTCTGAGATAAGAAAAGCTGAAGAAGCCACACTCAGAACTACATCCTCCTAAAGGGCAGGAAGGAATTTAGCTCCAACAGTAACAAATAGACCTTATTTCCCCCCTAATCAAATGAAAACATAAGAGGGAGGGAGGGGGACACACATGACAGTGGAGGGGAATTAATACCTGTCCTTGTTCTTCACGTTTGGGGTCTCGGCCACAATACCAGCATAGAGCCAGACCTGGTTCCCATCTTTGTATTTGGCCACAACCCTGCTGCCAACATAGTGCTTCTCAGGCAGAGGGTGATAGTCGTAAGCAATGTGATTGCCAGAGAGCAGACTCTTCCCTTTGTTATCAAACTTCACTTTGTACTTCTTGCCAGCACCTGCAAGACATTTCACCATGGTAAGATAAGCGCCAAATGACTCCAGCCAAGTCCCATTCCGTAGCCCATTCCCAGCCAAGGGAATTCCTTCCAAAGCCTTTCAGGAATGAAGTTGGGAGGTAAAAGAGTGGCTTTCCCAACTCCAAAGTGGGGTGCAAGCCCCAAGCCCAGCCCAACACAGGGGACGTACCCACTCTCTGGATGGCGATCAGAGTCCCCTTGTGCCACGTTTTGGTTCTCTTCTTGCCCAGGATCCTCATGCCAACGTTGAGATCTTCATCATGGCTGAGATCCCCCCCCGATGCTACAGAGCCAGCGGGCTGGCCAGAGCCAGGACTCTCCTGAAGGCTTTGTGCATCTACCCAAAGAACAGCAATAAGGGATCCGTTAGAAACTGCCCAAAGAGTCCCTCTCTTAGGTCAGAAGAACATCGACAGGATGGCATCCTGGCTCTCCTGCACCTCACACACCCCCAAGTGCCTCAGTTTTCCTGGCTGGAGCCATCAGCAAGCGGGGTTTAAGCATCATTAAAAAGCTCTTCCCATTATGGAATTTGCACCACTTGGATTGGCTTTGGGAAAGAGCTTAAAGCCCAAGAGGAATCTGGACTCAACAGCTCCTAATGGGGCCTTCCTGCAGGGAAAGAGCAGCTCTTTTCTTTGTCAGCAAGCGAATCAAGAGGGGTAAAGGTGCAGGTAAGAGCCAGCCCTCGCCTGGCCCTCCCACACCGACCTTTCTGGGCATCCTGGGCACTTGTTTTCTTGCTCACAGCATCCATGAACTTCTGAACATCCTGGGCAGACTTCCTGATTGCAGCCATGGCTTCCTGCAGCTCGAGGGATGGAAAGAGGGATAAAACACGACAAACCTTTTCTTTCCCCTTTGCTCTAAACACAGCACTGACCCAAGTGCTGCAGCAAAACCCCACTCCGAGGACCTGAGTCTGGTGTGTTCCAACTCACCAGAGTCTGATCCTTTGTGATTCTGGAGCTCCCAGTGCCTGTGTCTGAAGAGAACAAAAGGGGTTTAAAACATCCCAGGGAGGGAAAATCCACCCTGGTTAAGTCGGGGAAGGAAGAGGGAACGCAGGAAAGCACCCACCCAAAAGGTTCTCTTCCCCTGCCAAAAGCCACCCTTTCCTAAGCCACCCCTTCCAGTTGCACTCCCTCCTTCCCCATAGGGGAGCACCTGATGGGGCCAACGGGAGGGTGGGCAAAGGGGGGAGCACCCGATGGGGCCAACGGGAGGGTGGGCAAAGGGGGGAGCACCCGATGGGGCCAACGGGAGGGTGGGCAAAGGGGGGAGCACCCGATGGGGCCAACGGGAGGGTGGGCAAAGGGGGGAGCACCCGATGGGGCCAACGGGAGGGTGGGCAAAGGGGGGAGCACCCGATGGGGCCAACAGGAGGGTGGGCACAGGGGGGAGCACCTGATGGGGCCAACGGGTGGGTGGGCAAAGGGAAGAGCCCCAGTGTTGGATTCCAGGGGCTCTGGAATAGCCCTGGGCAGGTGACATCCCCTGCAATGGGGTCTCCTACCTGATCCTCTCTCATTTAGGGACCTGTGCGGCTTAGGGCCAGCATGAGGTTACCCTTATCCTGATCCCTCTCATCCTCCAGGACATCCCTTCCCTTGGTACCCTGCAGTGCAAGGGGCTACTGAACTGTGCTTCCAGCCGGGATCAAGGCTCATGACATCGTCGTCGTCCTCATCCGGGATCTCGATCACTTCCATGGCTTTGGCAGCCAGCTCCTCATCCTCGGAGCTGCTCTCCCGGTACTGGAGGCCCAGTTTGGAATACAGGTCCTTCACGAGGCTCTCACACTTGTCAATGGCTCTGCGGGGGGGAAAGGGCACGGAGGGATGGGGGACAAGACAACGTCAGCGCATCCCATAATAAGAGGAATCAACCCCACAGCTCCGCCCAGCATTCCCGTGCCCCACAGCTCCCTTTGGCCCCATTCCCGTGCCCCACACCTCCCTTTGCCCCCATTCCCCTGCCCCACACCTCCCATTGTCCCCATTCCCATGCCCCACACCTCCCATTGTCCCCATTCCCATGCCCCACACCTCCCATTGCCCCCATTCCCGCACTCCACACCTCCCTTCACCCCCATCCCCATTCCCGCACCCCCTTCACCCCCATCCCCATTCCCACACCTTCACCCCCATTCCCCTGCCCCACACCTCCCTTCACCCCCATCCCCATTCCCACACCCCCTTCACCCCCATCGCCATTCCCACACCCCCCTTCACCCCCATCCCCATTCCCACACCTCCCATCACCCCCATCCCCATTCCCACACCCCCTTCACCCCATCCCCCTGCCCCACACCCCCCCTCACCCCCATCCCCATTCCCACACCCCCTTCACCCCCATCCCCCTGCCCCACACCCCCTTCACCCCCATCCCCATTCCCACACCTCCCTTCACCCCCATCCCCATTCCCACACCCCCCTTCACCCCCATCCCCCTGCCCCACACCTCCCCTCACCCCCATCCCCATTCCCACACCCCCTTCACCCCCATCCCCATTCCCACACCCCCTTCACCCCCATCCCCATTCCCACACCCCCCTTCACCCCCATCCCCATTCCCACACCCCCCTTCACCCCCATCCCCATTCCCACACCTCCCCTCACCCCCATCCCCATTCCCACACCCCCTTCACCCCCATCCCCATTCCCAACCCCCCTTCACCCCCATCCCGATTCCCACACCTCCCCTCACCCCCATCCCCATTCCCACACCCCCTTCACCCCATCCCCCTGCCCCACACCCCCTTCACCCCCATCCCCATTCCCCACACACCCCCCCACACCCCCACCGCCACCCACCTGGAAGCATCCTCAAAGAGCTGATCCACACAAGCCACCTCCTCTTCCTTCTCCCTCACGCACCTCTCCAGCTCCTCCAGCTCCCTCCTCCTCTCCCTCACGCCCTCGCACTTCTCCAGCTCCCTGTCCACGAGCTCCTGGAGCTCCTCCATGGACATCCCCAGCTCCTCCATCACCTCCTGCTGCAGCTCCCGCAGCTCCCGGGAATCCATTCCCGCCGCCGCCGCGAGCAGGGGGAGCTGCGGAACCCCCCCGACCGCTTTACACCTCCCCCCACGCCCCTGCACCCCCCCTCCCCCACACCCCTGCACCCCCCCCCTCCCCCCCCACCGCCACGAGCAGGGGGAGCTGCGGAACCCCCCCAACTGCTTTACACCTCCCCCCACACCCCTGCACCCCCCCCTCCCCCCCCCGCCCCTCTCCTCCCCATGGCCCCAAAGCCTCCCCAACCCCATCCTCTCCCACTCTATGGCGCTTGCTCCTCACCCTCCTTCCCCCCCCCCCCAAAGCCCTCACCCCAATTCCCTCTGCCCCACAGCCCCCTCTTTGCCCCCACAGCCCCCCTTAGCCCCCCAATCTCCTGCCCCACTGCTCCTCTCATCCCCACAGCTCCCCCTGCCCTCTACAAGCCCCTCTTCAGGCCCCATTCCCCTGCCCCACAGCTCCGTACATCCCCATAGGCCCCTTTGCCCCCACAGCCCCCTCTCTGCCCCCCATTCCCCTGCCCCACAGCTCCCTACATCCCCATGGGCCCCTTTGCCCCCACAGCACCCCACTCTCCTGCCCCACAGCTCCCCCTGGCCCCTACAAGCCCCTCTTCTCCCCACACAGGCTCCTCTTCAGCCCCAATTCCCCTGCCCCACAGCTCCCTGCATCCCCCTGACCCCCTTTGCCCCCACGGTCTCCCCTTGCCCCCTCCAGGCCTCCTTTTGCCCCCCATTTCCCTGCCCCACAGCTCCCTCTCAGTCCCCCTTTCACACCCCATGGGCCGCTCTTCGCCCCCATTCCCATGCCCACACCTCCCTTCGCCCCCATTCCCGTGCCCCACACCTCCCTTCACCCCCATCCCCTGCCCCAAACCCCCCTTCACCCCCATCCCCCGCCCCACACCCCCCTTCGCCCCCATCCCACTGCCCCACACCTCCCTTCACCCCCATCCCCATCCCCACACCCCCCTTCACCCCCATCCCCTGCCCCACACCTCCCCTCGCCCCCATTCCCCTGCCCCACACCTCCCTTCAACCCCATTCCCCTGCCCCACACCTCCCCTCGCCCCCATCCCCCCGCCCCACACCTCCCTTCACCCCATCCCCACACCCCCCTTCACCCCCATTCACCCCCATCCCCTGCCCCACACCCCCCTTCGCCCCCATCCCCCGCCCCACACCCCCCTTCGCCCCCATCCCCCGCCCCACACCTCCCTTCGCCCCCATCCCCCGCCCCACACCTCCCTTCTCCCCCATCCCCCGCCCCACACCCCCTTTCACCCCCATCCCCCGCCCCACCCCCCCTCCCCCCCCATCCCCCGCCCCACCCCCCCTCCACCCCCATCCCCCGCCCCACCCCCCCTCCACCCCCCGCACTCACCGCGCCCCGGTCCCCGCTCGGATGCGCCCTGAGGTGAGTGGGGGGCGAAGCGGGGCGCCCTCCACACCGGAACCCGCGTGACGTCACATCCGGCAACAGCAGCCCCGGCCTGCCCAAGGGGGCGGGGCTCCAACCGCCTGGCGGCGGCGGGGATTGGCTGAGGGGCACGCGCGGCGGGGCGGAGCTTCCCCCGCGGGAGGAGGCGCCGTACTGCCCCCTGCTGGAGCGGAGGTCTATGGGGGTGCGAGGGGCAATGGGGGACAATGGGGATGCTGGGGGGCAGTGGGGGTGCTGGGGAGCAATGGGGGTGCGGGGGGGGTTTGGGGGTGCTGGGGGGCAACGGGGGACTCTGGAGGGCAATGGGGGTGCGGGGGGGCAATGGGGGGCTCTGCAGGGCAATTGGGGGCAATGGGGGTGCGGGGGGGCAATGCTGGGGCAGGGAGGCAATGGGGGTGCAATGGGGGGGCTGGGGTGCTTGGGGGTGCTGGGGGGCAATGAGGGTGCTGGGGGGCAATGTGGGCCTCTGGGGTGCTGGGGCCCATGGGGAGCTGTGGGGATGTGGAGGACAATGGGGGGTGCTGGGGGGCAATGGGGGTGCTGGTGAGGTTTGGGGGGCTCTGGAGGGCAATGGGGGATTCAGGGGGTGCTGGGGGACAATGGGGGTGCTGGTGGGTTTTGGGGGCTCTGGAGGGCAATGGGGGTGCTGGGGGACAATGGGGGGCTCTGGGGGTACTGGGGTCAATGGGGAGCTGTGGGGATGTGGAGGACCATGGGGGATGCTGGGGGGCAATGGGGGGCTCTGAAGGCCCTGAGATGCTGGGTGGTGCAGGGGGAGGCTGGGGCCCTATGGGGCTGGGGGTGTTTGTTGGGGGTCCCTGGGGGTGTTGGGGGTCCCTGGGGGGATGTTGGGGTCCCTGGGGGTGTTGGGGTCCCTGGGAGGTGTTGGGGGTCCCTGGGGGTGTTGGGGGTCTCTGGGGGTGTTGGGGTCCCTGGGGGGTGCTGGGGTCCTTGGGGGTGTTTGTTGGGGGTCCCTGGGGTGTTTTTCGGGGATCCCTGGGGGGGTGTTGGAGTCCCTGGGGGTGTTTGTTGGGTTCCCAGCCCCATCACATGAGCTCCTTACCTCCCTATGGACAGACGGATGCTGCGCCCCACTCCTGACCCCCCACTGCCGGTTCCCAGCCCCATCCCATGTGTTCCTTACCCCCCTATGGACAG